ATAGTATTAAATAAATAGTATTAAATAATATTAGTATTTACTGTGTACTAATTCAAGTCCTATTATGATTAGTACTCCTTAATCCTAGTCCTATTAGGATTAGTACTCCTTCCTATATCTCCTATATATATCTCCCATGTATTCCCTTATTAGGTTAACACTTCAATACACTCAATATTCCTTCACCTTACAATCCAATTCTGTGCAGAGTTGATTTGACATGTCTCTTGTGGATGGGCCTTTACCATTGGAAAACCTATTTTCAAAGTACTTACCTATGACTTTTGTCGTGGCGTGGGGATTATGGCTTGTAAGATGCTCTGAACCACACGTATGGTACTTTTCATATATTTTAATGGAAAACCTGTCACCACTTGTAAATTCCACAGACCTCACCCACCAATTGTAATTCGGATATGACATTTAAAGGAAAACACATTAGAGAATTGATCACTTTTTTCAGTCTAAGATCTTTTTTCAAGCAAGCAATTTCCAATGAATTTGCCAGTTCTTGCTTGTTCTTGAATGTCATTCCGTTGTAAAATCTTGTTTCATCATCTCTAACATTATTCACACGTGAAGTTTGAGAAGCACATGGATTGTTGCTGCCAACTATAGGTGTGGGAAGAAACTTGCTCTCAAGGTCTGACCCTTTAGCTTGAGCTTCACCTTCACATTCACCTATTTCAATTTCATCATTAGGATTATTCATGTCCGCAGGATGAAATTCATCATTAAACATATCTTATTGGCCTTGGTCTACATTATGATCCTCCTCGATAGGAGTTTCTTCCACGTAGACTCTAAATATTGGCGGTTTCTCTATTCCTTCCAAATAAACACTCAAACTAGATTGATCAGTTATTTTAAAAGGTAAAACCTTCTCATTATGAAAAAAATGGGGAATGTAACTCATGACAAGATCTTGAGGTTTACAATTGTATCCAAACTTTTGCACGACTAAATTCAAGAACTCATCATACAAAATGTTTCTTTCGACATACATACCTACTTAACCGGCTCCTCGTTTTTTACTATCCTCCCAACGCCATATGAATCGATTTTTCTTCTCGATCCATTCACCACGACAATCAATCCCTACAAATAATGGCATTGCACCTGAAGAAAATAATTAAAAAAACAATTACTAATCATGAATAATAAGCATATGTAGCAACATATGACTATTTTGTGGCGATATTTGAGTCATGCGTTGCTACATATGAATGTTCTGTTGTGAAAAATAAATCACATGTTGCTACATTTTTTAGTTATTACTATTCTGTTGCGAGTTGTAAGTCATATGTTGCTATATATGACTGTTCTGTTGTGAAAAATAAATCACATGTTGCTACATTTTTTAGTTATATCATATGTAGCAACATATGACTATTCTGTTGCGAGATGTAAGTCATATTTTGCTACATATGAATGTTCTGTTGTGAAAATAAATCACATGTTGTTACATATGACTATTCTGTTGCGAGATGTAAGTCATATGTTGCTACATATGACTATTCTGTTGTGAAAATAAATCACATGTTGCTACATATGACTATAATATGTTCTAATAGTCAACTGTTGCAACATATATAACAATATGTTGGAAACATGAATGCAAATTATAGAAAAAATTGCAGGTACCCAGATCATATGATAATAAATTGATTTTAAATAACTATTAATTGTACTTACCAGGAACAATGGTGTATAACGCTTATGCAGTAATTTCAAAACAAAACAAAATTTGGTCCACCAGTTACATATTAGGTAAAAAACTGATTCAAGAAGAAGAAAGCACAAGCACTACCAGCGAAGACCCGCAATGTACGAAAATAAGAAGAAGAAGAAGAAGATAAAGATGAAGAGAGCAGGAAGAAAGGAAAGCAAGCAAGCAAACGAGAGCAGAAGAAGAAGAAGAGGACGAATATGACGGCTGGAGGCGGGGGAAAAAGCTTTATTTCCTCTTTTGGCTCGATTTTTTCCCATCAAAATTGGTTATATTAGGTTTTGTATAGTCAAATTACCAATTTACTCTTCATTTAATTCCCACCAAAAGTTGGTTAAATTAGGTATTGTGAAATTACCCTTTTACCCTTCATTTAATTCAGTGGACCAAACTGTCAACTTATAAACTTGAGGGCAACTCCACAATCCTTAATCATTAATCACATAATTGTCACCTACACCCAATACTTAAGACTTATATTACTACCCATTTATTTTGAAACCTTAATGTCACCTTTTTTAAAAAATCCCAGAAGAGAAAATTAAGAAGGAAGAGAGAAGGAAAAATTACCGACCTACCATTTTGAATGTCAAATTTTTTTCATGCTTATTATAAATTGTATTTGTAAGGGATAATTATATACAACGATAAATTAACATTATAAAATAAATATAGTAGCTATCGATTAATTTATTTGTGTTCAATAACAAATTATTTGTCAATTCCTCTCTCCCTCATATTCTTGTTCGCCACTCTCCCTCTCTCGCTTTATACAATAGAATTTTATAAATTGTATTTTTAATTTTATAAAGTGAGAGAAAATTGTATGTACACATGCAAATATATATATCTCCGTGTTATACACTTATAATTATACAATAAAAGTACTTCCTTGTTCAAGTCTCTTTTGTCTTTCTCCCTTTCTCGTTTTGTTCAAATTCAAATTGTATATAATCATCATATACACTTATAATTATACAATTCGTTTTATATACTTCGTTTTATACACTTAGTTTTATACAATTCGTTTCAATTGTATATGTATAGCAAATTATACATATAAGTCCAACATACAAAACATATAAAATACTTTTATATCTCAATACTTCGATAAAGGTTGAAAATCTTTGAAATGATTTCTAAAGTTTCTTAGAAAAAAATAGAGGATTTTGATTTTAAAAAAGACAAGGTTTAGGTTAATTGAAGATATGAAATAATAAAAGAAATCTTTAAAGAGAAATGATAGAATTTAGGTAAAAGTATTTAAAGGGTGAAAACTGAAAAATGGATAATGAAATTTATTTTTTTTAGTCAAAAAGTGAGTCTAATTTGAAAAATAAAAGAGGATAAATAAATTATATTATGATACTCTTTATTTGTTAAAATATTATTATGATATTTTAAATAAATATTTAAAATATTGTTATTTTGACTAAATATGTCAAGTATTATGATTTAATTGCTAATTTTTTTTTCAAAAAATAATACACTAGAATTAAACAAGTGGATCACGAGAGTGGGTTCCACTTAGCACATTGAATTGCCTCGTCATATACAATGTGATACACCCCCATGCCTTGCCACATTGCCCCACTTAAGAAGCTTCCTTTCATGTCAACAATTTATAACTCACTCTTCGACTTACTTGTTGCCTTTATTATACTAAATTACTAATGAAACATTACGAAGACAAATGTATAATATATCATTTAAGGAATTATGATTCTTAGCTATAGTTAGAATTTTATAGCAAATTTTTACCTCCTTTGTCCCTCGTCTCTCTGTACTCTCTCGCTCTCCTCTCTTCCCCCTTTCTCGCCTCTTCCCCTCTTTCTTTTTAATACAAATAATAATCGTCAATATACAAATATAAATGGTAACAATTAGTGGTTCAAATATAAATAAGAATAATCACCATAAAAAATGATTTACATTATGACATGAATTGAGCTATTACATCGTTGTAGTACGAACATGAAATTGAACTGCATTACTCTATTTTTTTGAAACACACAGATTCATGTACAATGAATTCAGTTCAACGAATGATAATTATTTTAACTCAAATCGTAAATTACTAAACCACATCAGCAACTTCTACTATAATTTTTTCTCTTGAAGTATTTAAGTTCATAACATAAATCTTATAAACAATTTTTTTTATTTCTTAAAAAAAGAGATATTTCATTTGCACCTAATAACTGATTCAAAGCACCTTAATGTTTATGAATTATGAGTAAGAGTTACTGTTAATTAAATTGAAAACTCTATATAACACTTAAAATCATACAAAGTACTAAAAATTTAAATACAACATAAATACATGGTGTGTATAAATAAAATAAAATAAAATAAATGTTTTCCTTGCACTATGAATTGGCTAACATGCGCCATGAGTGCAATTAATCTCTAAACTACCTTCGTCTTTTTTTAACTCCGCCGTCACGCATATGAAACACAAAACGAGTATTAATCAGCCCACTCCTTTCGACCATTGAGTGTCTGTACGAATATAATATATGTTAATTTATTATCTCACTTTATACGAAAAAAAAAGTTTTTGAAGAGTTGATTATTGTGATAATATGTATTACTTTTTCATGTCATAATTTATTCGGCGTAAAAATAATTTTTTATGTCTTTTAATTTTTTAACTTATTAGTGATTGTGTTTAGCGTATATTTTATGTTATTTAAAAATAAAATACGTACTAAATTTTGAGGATCAATCAAATGTTTATACGTTTGTTAAAGATTATAAGTTGTTAATTATTGTGATTTATAATATTTTTTAGGTAAATTTCAAATAATATATATGTTACTTTTTTTGCTTTAATTTATATGACACTTGTATAATTTTGATAATCATTCAAAAAAAATTTATGTTTGTAAAATATTTAAGTTGTTAATTATTATGACATATAATACATTTTACGCATTTTTATAATATATAACTGAAAATATAAGAATTTCAAATATTTTAAATTTGTAATCTTTTTAACTTATAATATTTTTTTAGGTAACTTTTAAATATTTTAAAACTGCTCTCGAATAGAAGTAGACATATCAACGAAAAAGGTGTCTACTTTCAACAATTAAAGCAGACACATTAACAAAGAATTATCTAGTTCCAGTGACTAAAACAGACATTTTAACCTCAAACATTTATTAACAAGAGAAAAATATAATCCTTTCGTTTTAATTTATGAAACATTAAAATATTATACATTAATTTCATATATAAATTAAAATAGGAGCGAGATGAATTAACAATAGCAAATTCAATGATTAGAGTTAATATTAAAGTATTGGGTTTTGTTCATGAGCTATTTCTCCTCACCCCTACCCACCCACCAACCGAAAACACCGTCGATTTCGACTCTACATAGCAATAAGAGATCATTCAACAACTTCACTTTAACCCTCAAAATCTAAATCCAAACCAAAATTTCATCCAAATCTCATCAGATTCAACACTCGCAAATCTGCTGTCTATCGTTTTCTGGGTTTAATGCAGATGATAAAAGTGAGTGATGAATGAACGTAAAACTCCATGTGTGTATGAAGCTGTTTCTAGCATGCACCGCTTCACTACGTGTTATTGAGCTGATAATAGAGAGGTGGATAATATATTATGACGAATCAATTGGTGAAGGTGAAGAGAGATGTGATTGCGGCATGCATGACATGCCCTCTTTGTCATAATCTCTTCAGAGATGCAACTACCATTTCCGAATGTCTTCATACGTGTGAGTTCCTTGTCAATGTTACCTGTTTGAATTTTCAATTGGTTTCGATTTTTCCGATTGAACTGTTTCCAGTTGGTTTTACGATCTGGGTTTTGCTCTGTTTGCATTATCTTAGCTGGAGAGAGTCGTTTGCCCATCTGGGTGTTTCGTCTTTGCTCATTGTAACGAAATTGTAATAGAACATGGGAATATTTTGGGTTTTTTCAGCTAATGGGATCCATTCCATTTGGACAATTGGTGATATATATGGATGGTTTCGTTTCAGTAATATTTGTTTATTGATGTAGATTGACTTGATTTATTTGTATCCTATGATTCTTTTTTGGGTTTTCTGTTGCGGCAATTTGATCTCATTGACAAATTGGAGCACAGCATAGGTGGTAATTTGTGGTTGTTGCTTTATGCCTGTGTGTTTGTAATGAGATATTTCTTTGTTCCTAAGTATTCCTTTAGAAACTTACACTGGTGTATATTGTGTGAAGCATCTTGTTGGATGCATGCCTTGAACTTTGCGTACTTTCTTCTTGTTCCTCTTATATAAAAGCTTACTTTTTTTTGCATTTTGGTTTGGGTACTATCAAAGCTAGTAACTGCTTCTGTGAAAAAGATGATTACTATTGTGACACTGTACCTTCTGGAACTTTACTCAGTTTGCAGGAAATGCATCTACAAGAAGCTGTCCGATGAAGAAACGGAACACTGTCCAATTTGCAATATTGACTTAGGCTGTGTTCCTTTAGAGAAACTGAGGTCATATTATCTTCTAGCTCTTGTTCTTTTCTTTCTTCCGTAAATGCAAAAGGTTGCTTAAGTACTCCGTTGACATATAAGTTTCTGTATGTTTATTTAGCCATAGGTTATATGTCTGGCTATACATGTTGCCTTCATACTTACTCGCTGACTCAAGATTGTTCCATGTTTAATTTGAGAACGATGTGACATTTCCACCACAGTTGGGGACTTCTTCCCTCCACCTCATTCACCTTTCTTCTTTATGCACTCCATCTTCAAGAGACAGGCATGCCAGCTTTTTGTTGACATTTAGTTTTTTCCTGGGCTGTCTTTTATAAGTTTTGTTGTTCTTGGATATAGACAATCAGGTTTTCTCTTATTTTCATAGTGCTATATGGGGTAGTTTGCTTCTAATGTGTCACAATGAATGGCTAAAGACTTAGAGTAACTCTAGTACATGTTTAATCAATCATCAATTATGTTATATCTGAAACTAGCTGGGATCTGCAATATGAATGCTCTATATCCGTTCAGATCTATTCAAGCAAGTTTCACTCCAATACTACATAATCCGCCTCTTAAGGCAAATCAGGAGTTCCGTAAAAGTATAAGTTCTCTAAATTTGACAGCTGTCTCCACACTGAATGCAAGTCTCTTATCAGACTAAAAATTTAGTCTTTTGGTGGATACATGACATAATGTTAGCTGCGACTAAGCCTGAATCCCAGCTAGTCATGTCATCTATGGATCCTTTGTTTTCACTGTGCTTTGCACTTACTAAGTTCATATTGATCACGAGGTCTTCGAGTCACTCCCTCGATAGGTTTAGGTTTGCCTCACTCCTTTTAGTACTTTTAATCATCATAGTGATGCAACTACACATTAGTGTATTTACTTAGTGACATAGTTAAACCATTTCAGATGAACTTCTCATATTTTTTCATATGTGCTACTTGTTGCACTCCTTACACTTGTCGGATGCACTTCTCTTTTGGATATGTTAGGTCCTTCAGGCAAAATATTCAACCCATATAACAATGTTGATCCCACAACTGGTTAATTTGCCTCTTGATCAATCTACGGACTTGGATCAGTATTTACAATTAATTCTGATTTCTGGGTACTGTTTGGAGGTTCTGCAGTCTGGGAAGTAAGACAAAAAAGTAACTAGAAGAGATTGATTTTCGAAATATAGGGAGGAAAACTTGTAAAATATGCCAAATTAGCTTCCTCTTATGCATATTATATTTATTTCTGCAGTTGAGTGGAAGATGAAAATTCCTGAGAATAGCATTTATTTTTTAAATTATTTTACAACAGGCCAGATCATAATCTGCAAGATGTGAGAGCAAAGGTATTCCCTTATAAGAGGCGAAAGGTGAATGCACCTGAAATTGTGACTTCAGTAGCGTTGCCAGTGAGGAGAAAGGAGAGATCACTCTCGTCACTTGTGGTCAGCACTCCAAGAGTATCTTCACAAACTGGAATAACAGGAAGAAGAACAAAATCGGTGGCAAGAAAAGCATTATGTGGTTCCAACTTTTCAATTGAGAAATCTCTCAAGAATGAAGATGGTTCTGGAGAAGATCAGCTGGATAGCTCTAGCTCACTTGAGACTTTGAACAAGTTCACTCAGAACATGAGGCTGGTAAGTCATGTTCTTCAGATGTTAGGTGCAGTGCCTAAATTTGGACTTTATTAGATCTTATTTTTGCAACGTTTTGCATAGAACTGTGGTAATATTGTTACAGTCGATCATGTCAATTTTTTTTAATTTCTCTTTTTGCAGAATTCTTCCAGTGCTGAGCCTTCTAGTCACCCTACACCTGATAAAGAAACTGAAAATGGCAGTCAACAGTGGGAAGGCAAAGTTGATTTGTGGAAACCTTTAAATTGTTTGGTGGAAGCAGCAAACAGGAGCAAATCTTCGAGGTTTACCTCAGACGGTTCTACCGCTAAGTCAGAAGGTCGGCATTCCCATGACCGTGAGGGTCATGTCCGTAAAACTAAAGTCAAAGAACATGGACAGAAATCAAAGATCAAGGATGACAATAATAGTGATCCTGCTCCTCCAGAATTTGACAAACCTAAAAAGTCGCGTAGAATTCGCCAAAAGAAGGCATCATTTTATGGGGAGTTTGATATTTCACCGCAAACTTTTCTGGATGCAACCACTGCCAGATGTGAAAAGAGAATCTATCCAATATGGTTTTCGTTGGTGGCCTCGGAAGACCAGTGAGAATCTGATTTATCTTATAGAATTTTTCTGTTTTACTTTTTTCAGAAACAAGATTGAATTTCCCTTGTTTTAATTCTCCTTATGAATTTTCAGGGAGGGAGATGCACCCTTGCCACAGATTTCTGCAAGTTACTTGAGAATAAAGTAAGTTCATTTTATTGAGTAAACCAATTTTTTTCTGATGACGCTCTTAGTATGCCTGTTAGTTCTTATAATTCATAAAGGTTGCCCCAACAATATTTTAGCTGCATGCATTTTGGTTCTTACAACCTTTTAAATCTTTTTCTTCCCCTTTCTGAGGTACAATTCTGCAACTCGTCTATTTTTTGGTGGCTCTGGGGAAGTCACAGTCACGTTGCATAAAGACAGAGAATATAAGCTAATAATGGTAACTTCTTAATGCTGCTTCAGAATCACTTCAACTGACTTTTAAAGTAGGATATGCTCTAGATGAGAGTACAGTCAATCTGCTGTGGCGACAAGCCTGGCAGTTGATTTCAATTATCTTTATTTTGTGCATCTGATCAGTAAGTCACATATCATTTAGGGGGCAGCCAGCAATGATCAGGAAAGATATTATCTAAATTGAAGTTGCTAATTTGACTATGGACTTGTGCATGACTTTCTTTATTCTAACATAAAATGTTAATTTAGCGGGTTATATAATCAAATAGGTCGCTCTCCATTTCACTCTATATTTTCTAGTGAAATTTTGATCTAATTATCTATAAGAGTAAAACCTTGTCGTAGATGTACATTCCTTTAATGTTGCACGTACCTGTCAACCACTGTGTACTTAGTAAGTTTGGTATTCATGTGATTGACCTATATCAAAATACATGTCATGCCTTTTGCTTGGCCATGTAAAATTTTCCCCTCCAGAATGAAACTAATTATTAAAGGTTCATGGTTCTATGCTTACACCTTTCAGCTTTTAACAAAATCAAAGATATTCTGTACCCACCATCCACTAAACTTGTTGAAGTGTGAAACCATCTCATCTAAAAGCTTAAGCTATTAGAGAGAGCACACTTTTATTATTTAATTGTATTCTCAGCACGCCCCCTCATGTGCCGGCCTGATTCTTTTTATGGGCCAAACATGTGGAAATTCTTTTTGATATGGATGGCGGTGAGATTCAATCACAGGACCTCAGTCTGCTCTTCTGCCTGCTCTGATACCATGTGTTCAAGTATGAGACCATCTCATCCAACAGCTTAGTGCACACTTTTATTATTTGATTGTATTCTCAACACAACCCATGGTTAATCTATCACCTCACTTTAGACCCATTTTTCAGAAAAGAACCCCATATTGATGACCATTAAATCTGTTGTTGTTAGCTTCATAATAGGTGGCTAATAGCCTGCTCCTCTACGGATTCTCCACTCAAATTCCAAACTTGGTTCATACGATGACTCGAACTCTTAACATGCGCCTACCACTCATACCCATTTCATGATAGCCATCGGGCATGCAACTTTTCTTCTCAATATCCAATTTACTTGAAGAGATTTAATAGATTTCCAGAAAGAATGAGGAATTTGGTCTTGCTTTTGTTATTTTATTCTAAAAATCAAAAACAATATCTGCCAGAGCTCTCACATCTCTTTTCTTCTTAGTTATTTTGGTTAATGTTTTTCTATGTGGTTGATGCCTTCTGTTTGGTATTTATGTCCTTGATTTTTTCCTTCTTCATTTGATCTTTTGTTTTATTTGATAAGGCTTTGTAGTTGTCTTTCTAGAACTGTTTGATATTCTGGGTAGATTTTTTTAATTTTCTTGCTCAAGGCAAAATGCATTTTTTCGGGTATCATAAATCAAGTCCAAGGACAGTTCTGCCAAGCAAGTTCTGTAGGTTCTGTTTAGCTCTGCCTATTAATCTATATTCGTTTGTTGAAGCTTTACTGCAGTGCTGCTTTTCCATTATTTGGCAGTTCCCACTGCATCATCTGGTGAACTTCAGTTGGGTGCTGTTTGGGCCCTTATACTTAACCTGAGAAACCCATGTGGGCAGAGAGGAACCGGAAATGGTATTCACATAGATGACCCTTGCGCCTAAATGACTGAATGCAATCATAAGTGCAAAGAGTTTCATGTACTAACTAGTTTACCTATGCTATTGTATATCAAAAGGACTCATGAGAGCAACTGGCTTAAATTAGGTATTTACATATGGAACAACCAAATGAGGGACATGAGGTGTCTTATAAGAACAGTCAACAGTATTTAGTGGACTCTCACAAAGTCTTTTGCATTTGGACTTGGAGTAGCCATAGATCCTCCAAGGGGTTGGAGTACAGGCATTGCTTGTTCCTTTTATCTATTTTAGTCAACAGGATGCTTACTTTCTGACGTAGTTATAATTTGGTTTTCTTTCTCTGGAGGAAGTGAAATTTGGAGCATAACAAATAGGTGCTGACCACGGAGATAATGTACCTGATGGATTACTAGGAAAAAACTGCTGACCAATGCATTGTGGATTTGTTCTCTCCCTTCAGGACATGGCCAATGGGAATTATTTTGATAGGCCAAGTATCCTGTAGGAATTGTAGCAACTTATGAGTGCTGTCTTGTAATGTTAGTGTAAACCATAAGCTAGTTACTTGGTTCACAACGATAATGTTGCTTCACCTTGGGTAGTATATAGCTAGTGCTAGCAAAATGGACCCATATTTCAATAACCCACCCATAGCTAAGTGGGTTGGGTCAGTATTAATTAAAATGGATAAAATTTGGGTTCACGCCATTTTTGAACTGTATAAAATGGGTCGCTCACAAGTTATTTACGGGTCAGATATGGGTTAACTATGTTGGTATAGCTTTCTGGTAAATCACTCATGGTACAGACTTTGTCCTTCACGTCACTCACATTTTTTAAAAATCTTTGCTCAGTCGATGCTTTTCAAATAATCTGACTTTGCTCTAATTTAGAAGAGGTATTCTCCATTGTCAGCTCTCTGAGCATCTCAGACACGTGGCCACCAGAAGAAGCAACTTCTCGTAGCCTTTATACTCTTGCAGTCGAATCCAGACCGAATTTTTCTTATCTGATCTAAGAACAATTCTGAATAAATGATTTAAATTGATTTTGGTGTAACAACGTTAGAAATCATAATTTGAACTGTGAATATATTAAACCGTTCATTGGAAGAGTTAAGTGTCAAGTTTGAAAGAAGTATGAAGTAATACTTTCCAAAATGTTTAAGATGTACCTTATTGCTTTAACTAAATTTAAATTTTAAAAGACTCCTCTTTCAATTAAACTGCTTATTATTGTAGTATATCGTGTGCTGTGACGAATAATGAATATGCAATTGGTGAGATTTGGGTCTCTACCTAGTCTGATATTGTAGTATATCAACAATAACATAAGCAATTTTCAACACTCTTCTACTTCAGTTGTTGCAATCTAAAAAAGTGGCTCTTCCTCAATTTCTGCTTTGGCGGTTGGTGCTGAGTTTTTTGACTGCTTTTGAACTTGCATACTTCGTTAACAAGACTGTTTCTTCTTCTTCTTTTTTGTTTTTGGATTTGTGCATATAAAGCACCTTGATTTCCTTGTCTTATCTGAAAGCTTTTCTGAATGTGCTTTAATTTGGACCATGATAGGGATCTACAAGGAGTGTTTTTAAGGATTGTTCTTTCATGCATCATTCCGTAAATCATAGGTTTCAAGATATAATATCATCTTCATTAAATTAATTGGTTAGTTTTCAAGGAGAGACTGCTACTTGACATGTTTGAAAAGTACAGGTTTAAAGTTGGTATTGGTTAGAATGAACTCACCGATCCCTATGACTAATGAGGCTTTGATACCATTATGGGGTTTTTAAAAATGGTGGAGCAAAAAGAAAATTCTAAATGATTGAAATTGTCTTTGTTTTATTTTAATTAAACCACATAGGGCTTTTAATCAGGAAATCTGCAGGATAAAATTCAAAAACCTATTTTATCTCAACCTAACTAAATTTAAAGTTAAACAAAGACTCCTAAACTACCTATTATTCTACTAGTAAATCAGCAGCAACACAAAGAGTTTTCAACAATATAACCATATCTTAACCCATATACAAAATGGGTCAAACCTAGGGCAGGGCATAAAATACCGAAAATCGAATTACTGAACCTAACCAAAATTTTTGGTGATTTAGTATTTGGTATTTTGGCATTTTGGTATGGTATTTGGGAGTATAATTTTAGTATTATGGTATTTGGAATTGGTATGAGACATTAGAACCATTTGGTATTCAGTATTTCATGAATACCGAATTATATACTAATGAAAGCCATATATAACTAGGTTCATACTCATCAGTACGTGTCCAAAGAGAAGACTAGACATAAACAACCCAAATACATATATCTTTTAGTTGTTTCAATTTACTTTTTTTGATGTTTTCGTACTTGTTGATCTTCTATTATATTATGCCTCCACATAGAAAAATAGAAATAATTGGAGCAATAATACACTGGGCTACAACTTTGATACGATATTACCGAATACCATACCAACCGAAGTTTGATTTATCGATTACCTAAACCGAAATTTAAAATTTTGGTATTTGGCATTTACCTTTAACTACCAATTACCAAATTATCAAACCCGAAATTTGAGAATCCCGACCGAACACCGAATGTCCACCCCTAGTCAAACCTGTTTTAACCCGCTTAAATATGAATATGGGTGTATTGAGTAATGATCTACTTTCAACCCGCCCACACCACCCATACTCGTCCTTGTACCGTTTTCTTCTGGTACTAGAAGTACCAGCGGTAACCCAATCTGATATGTTTGAACCGTAGGATGGCTTTTGTAGAGGGCATTATTCCTGCATAATTCTCCTTTTATAGGGATATGTCCCACTTTTTGTGGCATTAATATCTGAACTTGATACATTTATACTAATTTTTAACAAGTAAAAGACTAGTGTACACTGGAGTGTCGATTTGTTAAACCCATTTATTTCTACTTTTTCTTAAAGGGGTAGAAGCAGCAAGGGTTATGATCTAACATTACTATATTCATAGTTATACTGGTTTTCCATCTTACGTTTTTCCCAGCTACTGCAGCAGCGCTTTAGTCTATGATGCTCCTCAACCCTCAAAATTCTCTGGTTTCTTCCACATCACTGCTGCTACTGATTTACTGTTCAGCATGTTTCTACTGCCAAAAGTTCGTCAAATGTTCGGAGTGATTGTTTGCTTCCGCACCTGCCATATGGATTTTTGTACTTCTTATTTTCATTTATTTCCACCCTTTGGATATATAATTCTAGTATTAAATTGTGTGACCACCTCATCTAAAAGTTTAAGCGGCTAGAGAAGATACAATTGTTTATTTGTATTAGGTCTGGAAAACGCTCCTTCATGTGCGGGTTTGACTCTTTCTTTTTTATCCCAAGCACATGAAACTTCCTTTTTGATAATTGGTGGATGTGAGACTTGAAGTTTATATTTGCTTCTCTGATACCATAAGCGTGTGACTACTTCATTTAGAATTATACATTTATATGTTAACATCCATGTTTGCTCAATTAGAAGACTATATCTCTAGTGATACGGTTAGCATGCCATGCATCGAAATATGTTTTCATAAATTAAACTAAGGTGCTTGATCTTGAACTGAAAATGATCTCCTCTTCATGTGAAGTTTGAAATAGATGGAAGCTAGATAGGACAGAATATGAAGTGTTAATTACATTTCTTTCCTTGTTGCAGTTTGGTCTATATGTTGTGACCTTATAAGGCAGCAAACGAGATTATTTAATAAGAAAGAGGACATTATACATTCCAATTTGAAATACTTATTATATACGAAACAAAAGTCCTATTTTCAGTCCAGCAAAGTTCAGAAATCACAGGGCTACCTTTTTTTAATGGCTTATAACCAACAGTACTCTGAAATAAGTAAAGAAAGCATGAAGTGATGTGTGCTTATGATAAAGTGATCTTGGAATTTTAAAAAGAAAAGGAATCACAGAAGAACCTTGCAGTTTGATATCTGACATTAAAATTCCTAATAGTTCAGAAGAATGAGAAATGGAAAAAGCAGTTTTTGGGAAGATTAATTATTGGCCAGATGGCACCTAAATTCGCATCAGTAATCTGACTTACAAGTAGTTTTGGATGTATAACTAGCAAAAAATGTACACGAATAAAACTTGGAGGATGAAAATTCAGAAAAAAATATGTAGGTAACCTGAGATAATCATTGGGAATGGATAAGCCATAGATGTTTGGCAGTGAAAGACACCTAGAGCCAAAAAGAGAATATAGTGTTAGAGGCTAGAAAGAGCAGCTCAAGTTGGAAAAGTTTCTGTTTGCCAAAATTAAGATTGAGTTGGTCCATTTGTAGGAGTAGAATCACCAATATCTTTAACATTTCGAGACAGGTATTCTTGCGTATTTTCTCATATATTCCTCTTTTGCAGGGATGGCAATATTCCTGTTTGTTTCATCCAAAAATACCTGATGCGGAAGTTGGATCTTAAGAGCGAAGACGAGGTGATTCCCTTGCTTCATAGTAATTTATAAATCAATGAACACCATTAGCATTTTATGCAACCCTATATATCTTCTTTGGTGATATTAGATTGAAGTCTGGGGGACATCATTTTCTATACTTTTTGAAGACATTGGATGCAATGGTCATCCAGTCTGGTTTTGAACTAGGCTGTGTTAACAAATTTCCACATGAACTAACTCAACTTTGGGGCCGGTAACCCTCTACTTTACACATGTGCAAATGAGGAATGGTAATGTGTGATGCTTGATGTTAAACGAAATTTCCCTTTCTGATCAGCAAGAAAGATCACCCACATGTGACAAGTATGGCAGACACTTTTTTCTTGGAAGCAAACTCCATTGGAAAAAAACATAGTAAACAATTTGCTTGTTTACTTTTATTCTGTGCTGACTCTTTAATTTATTTTGTAGGTTGAGATTAGATGTATGGGACAATCAATCGTCCCCAGTTTACCACTGAACAGTTTGGTTGATATGTGGCTTCAAACTACCCCATCTGAAAGAATACCAGCAATTATTGGTTCATCGGCAAAGGATTTTGTTATGGGACTAGCTTATGCTCGAAAGTCCCCAGGCACTGCGGCATCTTGAGTTATTATCACTGCATTTCTATACTTGATAAACTACATGAGAGCTAATCATATGTTGAAGTAGCAGAGCGGAATTGTTATAAGAACCATTGTGCCTCATCATATTGTGAGTTGTAGACTAGTAGGTTGTTTTCAACTGCTGCGACTCAGCAGTAATCGAGGAACTAGATGACGAGGAAGATGATACTGAAATCCAAGTTGGGCCATTCTGGCCACCATGCTTTCAAGTTCACTCTCTCTCTCTCTGTCTCTGCAATGTGTTGTATGGTTGTACACTACCTGAGTGAATCTTGATAATGTTTTTTCATTCATGTCTTTCATATCTCAAAATCTTAATATAATATATATATATATATATATACACAATTTAATTTATTTTTCCAAGGTACTAGTATTTCACCTGAAGTTTGACGTTACATTTAAGCAACATTTCTATCTGACTGTAGAATGATGAATTGTACTGTTGTTATTCTTTTATGTCCTATTCTAAAGATGTCCCCACCCAACCTCTCCAGGTAATCAAACTTCCCGCCCTTTGTTGTTATTGTTTTACAAATTGATTCATCAATCAAGCGCCTATGATTTTCGTCAATGAAATAAAGTGGCAATATTGTGTTTGAACAATGTTTTACACAAAATCAAATTGAATTCATATGAAACAATGTATTATTGATTGATTGGGTGAAACCTAATTAATGCATAAATGAGATTACAGAAGCAGTAGCTTTGCATTTGCTATTTTCCAGATCTGCAGGCTCCAAAATCACACAGATCTGTAGGCTTCAAAATCACACATAGGTACCAACAAAAGAGTGCAATCCACCATCAGCGGCATCTTCTTCTTCCAGAAACAAATTCTCTGTAATTCTAAAAGTTGCATGCAAAAATATCAACACAATCCCTACGACAATCGACACCAACACATTCAACCAAACATGAGTGAGCACCAAGCTCACCACTGTAACAACTCCGAGAACAACCAGAACAATTCTATCATCAATCGTACGATTAAAAACCATCAACGGTTCGTCGCGATGGAAGTAGAGGAAATACCAACCTACCGACACGATTAAGAACACAATCATTGAAATTGGATGCCATAAAATGCTTAAGAAGAGTACAACCAGTACAATCATCGCATAGTTGACCCGAAAGTAGCTCAGATTTCGCTTCACCCGAGATGCGAAATCGCTGACGGAAATAGGTAGGGTATAGGAAGACGGATGGGTCAATAGCTCTCTCCATGGACGACGACGAGCATAGACGGTAAGCATGCCGGATCTAGCCCGACTGAAAGAGAAGTCATAAGATGGACGCATGATTATTCAATTAGGGTTGCACTGTGATTCACGTTCAAAAGTTGAAACCTAGAAGAAGGGGATGGAATCTCTAATTGCACTTTTAACAACCAAAAAATTATCTTTTTTTTCATATATTATTAATTATTTTTTTTCAAGATTTATTTTTTTTAACAATAAATTGTAAATATTACTATACTAACAAAAAATGAATTACATCTATAAGATTACATTTTATTCGCGTACAAAAATTATATTAGTTGTACTATGTTCGGTAGAAGTTTTTTTTATTGAATTAAAAAATTAACATTAACTTATATCATGTTAAGTGGGTAGGATTCTAAATAGGGAAAATTGTATAAATAGCAAACTAATAACCTAAATTAAATTGAATAGCTAGGGTTTGATTTAATTGTGCTCCATAACAAACATTGACAAAAATTTGCCAGGCGTCTCTCTCCCAGAAGTCTCGCTCGCCACTCTCCTATTCTCGCCTCTCTCGCTTTATACACAGAAGTGTATAATTTCTGTTTCTGTTTTGTATAAAGCGAGAGAATATACACATGCAAAAATGTATATCTTCTTGTTATACACTTAATTATATAATTTACAAACATTTTACTTCAAATATTGCAGAGAAAAAGGCCAAAGAATTATACAACTGTGACTTATACAATTGCAGTGAAATACAATTTTTTCTAGCTTTATACAACAGAAGTGTATATATTGTGTTTCTGTTTTTGTATAAAGCGAGAAAAACATATATCTTCTTGCTATACACTTATAATTATGCAATATACATACATTTTAATTCGATTCAACTGTATGCAAAGCTAATTATACAATTGCAGCGAAATAGGCCAGCGAATTATACACTTTTATATGTATAGCGAATTATACCGTTTTTAAGTTTGCTATGGAGCGCAATTATGCAAAGTTTGCTATATTGTACAAATATGATTTTTTTGTTTGCTATATGTGAAAGTTGCCCTTCTAAATATTCTATTCATGTAATAATTTTAGTGAAAATTTTATAATTGACATATATAGGACTAATAATTTCAAGTTATGACAAAAGAATAATTTTTTCAACTTGTAACAATTTTTAAAATTGCAGATTCTAACATTTTATTAAAATAAAAAAAATACTTTAAAATATCAGTAAAAATTAATTTGTTTGAAAAAAAAAGTAAGGTAAAAATGAAAATTATTAGTAGTAATTAATTTGTTGTGTGCCATAGAATTAGGAGATTAAAAAAAAAGAATATTTGTTTCCCTTTTTAAACTCAAATCAGTTATTTTTTAAAAGAAACAAAAGTGAAAAAGGAAAACACATCCTCAAATTAGTTAAATTTATTTCTAAACAGATTTTCTTCTTTTGTTCAAAGGTTTCTCTTTCCTCACAATTTTTTCTCTAATTGTTGTCGCTCACAACTTGTTTCAATTCAATTTTTTTTAATAATCTTTATTTTGTTATAATGGACAGTTCTTTATCAATATTAATAAAGCAAGTAATAGATGAGATGTTTTAGGTTAGTGTTTTTTTATATTTGTATTGTTATACTATTTAAACGTTAAAAAAATTAATTAGGAACAATGATACTGAAAATGAAATTTTCGGACTATTTTTGTGTGTAATAGATTTAATTGTGACGAATTTTGTATGGACATTCTTTTTTATTGATTACATAATATTTTTTTTAATACTGGAATGGATTTTGGTATGATTTTTTTTAATTCAAGCTTTCTGATATTTTTTTATTACATAATTTGTAATTGGTATGCTATTTATACCATTTTTTGTACGATTTTGAAACTATATTTGAATGAATTGTGTTTACCGTTTACTTAATAAATCACTGTTAATTGTTAAAATTAGTATTATATTTTTATTATATCGACATTGATTCTGCTGTGAAAAAAATTACGACTTGAGGGATGAAATAGTAATAATGTTAGCAGGATATATGTATGAAAAGTGTGTCAAAAAATGTATGAAATGTGTATATTCTATTCTATAATGTTTTATAATATGATTTCATTTTTTTGGCATTATTATGGAATGTAATTTGATAATAATAATAATAATAATAATAATAATAATAATAATAATGTAATGAATTTGATATACATGACATGATACATGTAGGACGCTATTAGGACACTATTTCTATGTAGGGTGTCATATAAGATGAATGTGTCAATTTGTTCAATTTTATACAAGTTTAAAGAAAAAATATAAAGTAACAATTGAAGTTGTCCCGGATTTTTAGAAAGATACTTTAACTTTGTAATTGTCATATTACTCCACTAAACAATTATAAATCGATATAATTATATCATTTTTCGATCAACCCCAAATTTTAAGAAGCAAGTGTATTCATACACCAATCAATACATGATACATGTTAATTTAATTTAAAACGTACTTTTTTCATTTTAAGTTTTTTCTTTATCATCTTTTTTCTTCTTTATTTCTCTCTCTCTTACTTTTTGAATTTTAATTTTGATTTATTTAAAATTTAATTTCATCTTCCACCTCTTCTATTTTTTTCTCTTCATAATTGCACCTCACTCCCATTTCTTTTCTTTTTCATCTTCTTATCCGGTCAAATTCTACTCATACTATTATTTAGATTTTACTAAATTATTGTAACAAAATTAATTATTTTTCTAAAAAAATTTAAAATTTTGAAGTATCATCAACTACTCATTTTCATATAAATCCAAAATTAGAAATCATAATTTTAAAAGAATAAATTAATTCTCCGAAAACTAAAAGAACTTAATTGAAATCGGATAAAACAAAAATTATATGATACTTCCTAATCATCTAATTAATTCATCTCATTTCCATATAACCTCAAAACTAGAAATGATAATTTTGAAAGAATCATAATTTTCCGAAATTTGAAAAAGTTTAATTGAAATTTGGATTAAAAAAACTAAATAATACCTACAAATCATCTTGAAATCTAATTTGCTTATCAAATTGTTCGAAATGTAATAAAATATTTAGATATAGTTTCAAATTAAAAAGAGTTCAACTAATAGTAATAAAAAGGAAAAATAAAATTGTGATAAAAAGTGACATTTAAAATGAGGAGCTCCAATGGAGATGAAAATGAATTTTTGAAGAAGAAGGAAAAAAGAAAAAAGAAAAAAATAATAAGGAGAAAAAGTTAAATTAATAAGAAAAACAAGAAAATGTATTTTATAGCAAAATACTTGCAAAAATAAAGTTATATTCATTTTTTTTTGTTTGTTCACGCTCTTTGAGAGAGTGCATACACTCTCCATGCCATGTGGATAATAAATGATGTAATAATATCAGTTCAGAATTGTTTAAGAGGGTAATAGGATGCTAGCATAGTTTAGGTGTCTTTTGAAAATTCGGAACAACTTTAGGTGTCACTTTATGTCTTTTCTCACAAGTTTAAGTGTCTACTTGTGCACATCGAAAAATTAAGGGTCATAGTTATCAACTGACGTCAAGTTAAAGGTCATGTTTATGTATTATGCCTCTCCTTCCCTATTAGGGTATTTTAGAAGGATGGAAAAATAAGGATTTCTCGTAATTAAGGTTCTGCAATGCTGATCCTGCTGCACCGGGGTAAGTAGTTGTTGCAGCGTCGCCGCGCCAGGGACAACTATCCCGTTGTAGCGGGACAGAGTCCAATTTTTTTTAGCAACATCTTGCCTTTCTCAATTAATGACGGTTCAAATCGTTACAATCATGTATCAACAAGACTTGTACCACCATTATCAGGTAGTAATACCATTCAATTATGGTCTTCAACTTTATTCTCCTCCTAAGAGGAGAGCTGGATAATTTCCAGAGAAAAATACATCTCAGTCTCATAAAAAGACATATTCATAGGAACATACAATCTTTTGGTAGGTGGATGATAATATTTGTAGCTTTTTTTGAGACAAATACTCAACAAAGACACATCGCAATGTACATAGATCATGAATGATGTCATAATTTTGAAGATAAGAGTGTAACACTTTGATTAACAAATTCTCCACTATTATTAGACCTAATAAATTTTATTTTGGCTGAAAATTGAGTTTGAATCATCATATGAAATGAGTGGAAGTATTCTGAAATATCACTTTTATTCTTCATTAGAAAAATTCATGTCATACGACTGAAATCATCAATAAAGATAACAAACCAACGGTATTCGGATGAACTAGAAATTGGGGAAGAACCCTACGCATGAGAGTGAATCAATGCAAAAGGGTAAGTAGTACGATGACTTTTAACTAAAACACAAATATCACAATGAAAATTAGAGAAATCACACTCTAAGAATAAAATTGAAAATAAGTGTTTAATGTAGCCAAAAGAAGCATGATCAAATCTTCGATGTCATATCCATATTGGTGTAGTTTAACAAAATAGGAACCTTGACTTGTCAATACCATGGCATACATCATCTAAATAATAAAGCCCCCCCCCCCCCCCCCCTTCTTTTTTTAGTACCACGTGTAAGAGTTAGTGTTTCAATTAATTTTGAAACATATTCATCCGTTTTGAAATAACAAATACATGAATGTGAGTTGTAACATTCATTTATTTTAATTCTTTGTTATAAACTTTTGCAGTAAGTTTTTTTTTAATTCTACGTTATGGGTTTTTTGAAAGACAAATTTTTTGTTTCCAATTCATGAACCTAATAAATTCTACTAATTAAAAAATCTTTTTCTTGCAAATTTTTTTATCCTATAAATTGAGTTTCCTTTGGTTGAAAAAGAGAAGCATTCAAACAAAAGTACTTTCCCTTGAAAACACTTGTGAGACATTGATCAAAGGGTGAAGTCACCAATCCAAGAATAGAAGAGCAACATTCTTGAATGCTACTTGTTTTGTGGCTTAGTTGAATCCCGAAGATAGAGTTGTTATTTATTCTTCCGATTGCTCGTGGGAGAAACTCCAACTATCTTCAAGAAACGTATTAATGTGCCTCTAAGCCAAGCAAGTTTTATTCCTTGTAATTTTATCATTCTTGTTCATTTTTTCTAACACCACGCCCAATAATCTATTTGACGCTGAGGTCCTGAAAGATGTAGAAATTAGGATGCATAAATACTAGAAAATTTAA